CGAGAGCTGCGATATCGCGATCTTCACCTGAAGACGGGCGCTTGTGTTGTGTTCAAAATGTCGTGATATACTAATAGGGTTTTTCCCCTTTTTTCTGGCAACAAAACTGACACCTTTTGCAAGGAATCATGTTTACATTAACCACAATACTTGCAGTCAAATACAAACAAAAACAATACTCTGATAATGTATGCATTGTCCTTGAAACTGATTGGTCCACACCAGAGACAGCTTTCTTTAGAGCCTAGTCTCATATGGTGTTCGACCAGATGACGCCAAAAAGCGCACAGTTCAAAGACAACGCATTATCAGAGTAATGAGAGCTCGGGGTGAGCAGCTACATCTGGAGGTCCCATGATGTCGTGATATGTTTTATTGTATTTCTACCTACGTGACTTTACCAAAAGAACCAAAGAATATGTACTAATATTATTATATTTCAGCGCCTTGTCAGTCCACTTTTGGATGAGCGCTTCTCCACAATGCATTGGTCATTGGATCGTTTGACCATACTTCACTAGACTGGTCAGGAAGGGTTGGTGAAGGGATGGCCTCGGACCGGCTCGGCTATCACTTGGGATGGTGTGGCCAACAGCATGCCTGTCCGCTGTTATCTCCAGTCTGCTGGCACCATGGATTTATTTAAGGTTGAGTCGACCTAGGGAAGGTCCAGGAATGGTTAAAATATCAGCATCCGACCGCTGATGCTAGCAGTGGTGGGATAATTGAACTCAGGTCACCAGGTTCATAGTCTATTGTGGTAATCTCTGCTACACTACCACTCCAAGGTATGCTACATCATGTGGACTATCAAAATATCACTGTGCACCACAATGCCCTTAGTCATAGAGTGTTGCGTTTAGCATTCAGTTTCCAATTGATAACATGACTCATATAGCAACGTGAATCAGACAGGATATCTTCATTATTAACTATTTGACGAAGTTGGGAGTTGAATGTTGAAACCCCACCGTATTTATATTTCAAACAGTGCTGCATAGGTATCATCTATTATTAACTTTTTTACGAGTTTACCTTGACATGTATATACTTTAAAACCGCAACACTTTTAACGGCGAACACCAACATCCAAAATAAGCACACTGAAGAAATCAGTGAACACCAAAGCATCGCCCCAACCCCCTCGCCCCAAGTTGGTGGGAGGGGAGCAGAGATGTAGTGGGGGGGGGGGGAGGGCACCATGAGAATAATTCGATGCTCAGGTGAATAAACCACGAGATTGCGATGTTTGGGTCTCGAATGAGGAGTTTATACTGGTAGGAACCTCCTGGTTCCACCAGCCCACAGGGGATTATTGTGTCCGTCCGTCCGTAGTGCAGAGAGGGGCTGGGTGGGGAGGGGAGGGTGGGGAGGGGCTGGGTGGGGAGGGTGGGGCTGGGTGGGGAGGGGCTGGTCACCCCGTGGTGCCCTTATACAACTCAACGTTTAACCTACTCACGCCGGCTTGTGCCCGCCCTCACAGTCGGGCATATTTGCGGAATACACCACGCCGCCGTTGACCCTGGCCATTGACCGAGCAACCCAACGTTCCTACTAGCTCCCTCCGCAGGAATGTGTTTCTGGACAACGTCCACGTTGTTCCACTGTTCGCAAGCAGCGTTCTTCCCGATCTGGGTGAGAATTTGAGTCAGCGAGCACCTATGGACGTCAGCGTGGTGCACTAGGGGGGGGTGGGGAGTGGTCATAACGATGCACGGTCACCTTTGTCTCCCCAAGTGCTGATGTTTTCATACCAAACCGAGTAGAATATTCGTTTAAGACTATACGATACATGATTTGAGGCTTAGTCGACCTAGAGGAGGCGCTAGAAAGGTTCAGATAAATCGAAACCGGGTCGCTGGGTTCGTAGTGCAGCGCGCTAACCACTCCGCTAACCATACACGCGCACGAATAAACGTGATTGTATTTAATTGCGTAAACAGCCCGGCTGTTTGCCAAATGACCTACTGCAGAGAATGCCACGTTGTCAAACACTGCCAATGTTCTACTGATGGGGGCAGCATTACTCTGTTGCCACGATTGTAACAGAAAAGCCACATTTCATCGTGAAGACGCAGACATTTAGCATTAAGTGAATCAAACGACTCTTGAAAAATAATTATCGATGCATCGTGTTTCCTGGCTGGCTGCTGACTGGGTCTCCTCTCCACGCAAATACACTGAAGCGAGCTGGGTTACTGGCTAAACGAGATTTTTTTTGTCCCACATCACAAAATAACACTGAATTGAAATGGTGGATAGAAGTTGCAAAGACATTTAATGATGATAATATTAAACGTATAGCAACACCGACGAGGTGATAGGAATAAATACAGAAGACAGTCACGGGTCATTTAAAATTTCTGCATATGTCTAATTTGTGCTATTAATGCATTTTTTTCAAGTGGGAATATTCCTTAAAATGCTAGAGAATATAAACAAATCCCTCACAAAATATCTATTATTTTGATATTTTATCATATATTGGACGAAGAAAAGGCTAATTAGTGCTTAGACTACGGGATGATTGTGAGAATTCAAATGGCAGCTGTTGCTTATTGTTCCATTGCAGAACAATGTGTTCTCTACCCGCATAAAAAAAATGTACAAAATATCAAATTGAGTATCCAGGGACAGTGTATAATTTCATCCAGAACAGTCCAGACATCATTTGGCACGCCACATCTATCTCGTCCTTACTGTGTCCATCTAATTTTGATTAACCTGTTTTTTGATATTACGGGAATACAGGGTACAATGATGTAGGGATATTTCGGGACGGTGTTATTGTATTCTAGTGGTAGTGCCTTACGCCGATAACGCTCACTCCAAGCCAAGCCTGGCAGCAGCCTTCCAGTAAACATTGAGTGGCAAATTAAGCCCTGATGATGATGTAGCGGCTTTTGGTTGGCCATCAACAAAACTGCATCACGGCGCTTTCAGATGCGCTTCTGCGGCCGTCTGGAACGCTCTTCCTTCCGATATTAGGAAACCATTGGGAGCTGTGAACTTTTAAATAATCTAGATTGAAAAGCAATTTATTAAGAACAGCTTTCTGTGTTTAGTTTGTTGTCCTGCCCCCGCACCTCTGATTAGCGCGCTTGGCTACGTACGGTGCAAAATAAGTTCAACATGCGTACATACAACTAACAACCCCTCATCGCCAGCATGGTGTGGGGAAGCCTTCATCCAGCAGTGGGTTGACTTACGGCTGTGATTATTAATTCAATTTGGATGCTACAATCAGAATTGCGTCGAAGGAAGGCAAATGCATGCGTTGTTGTTGCTGCTGCAGCAGTCACAGACGCAACTTGATATTCATGACATGACCATAAAATGCAATTATTCATCCCAGCAGACTGCACAGTAGCAATATGCATATAGCTTACCACAGACTTGCTATGTTTTTTTGCGAAACATTCGAAACGTGACAATACGTCAGCGAAGACGGATAGTGTAAATTTACAATTGCTTTTGTTAAACCGCAAAAACGTGACGTCTCACATAGCACTCACACAGCCCCTTTGTAAATCCACTGCTGGATGAATGTCTCCCCCACCACACGTGTAAACAGGGGACCGGGTTCACGGCGCGTTGTTTGAAAAAAAACCACGTCACCTCCTCCACCCCCACGCGAATCATTCCATATTTAGTTGGTGCTCATGCAACTGTATTGATCATCATCTAATCGTGGTTATAAATCGTCGTTAAATCTGCGTTAGCCTACAATAGTAGAACGTATCGTGGAGGTGTTGGCACACTCACCAAATATCTGCTGACATGACCGCATGCCACTGATTTATCTCACTAACACTGGTCAACACACTTTTTCTGGCATAAGGTATTCCAACGGTTTTAAGGTAATTTTGGGGTGATATATTGCATTTTCAATAACAACTGCAGAGGAAAAATAGTAAATAAATGTGGATATCTATAAAAAATTATATTATAAACACACTATCCTAAAAATACAGCACCATATTTTAACACTAAAGCAGTCACTGACTCGCAACAACTTGCAATCATAAGTAACAGAGTTAATTTCGGGTAAAATCAATGAAAATGGGGTATGCCGATAGCATAAAAATGAGATGTGATAGAGCAAATCTGAGATCAGATTTGGAATCAGCACCCTGAAATTAGTCTAAAACAGCTGCAAAAGTCCAGGCCAGAAAAAAATGTTTTTTTTTTCTGTTGAGCATTGTAATAGTAGTAGTTGTAGCAACAGCGGTGTGCACGTAGTCCGTTCCCTCGATCCACTGCTGGATGAGGGCCTCACCAGGCCGCTCGGATCGGTGAGAGATAATCGAGCAAAGTGCAAACCTCCTCCAAAATAACAAACTGCGAGTCCTTTATTCGGATGCAAAAACAACGTGGGGGAAAAAAATCCTGATTACTCACACACATTACACATCGCTAAATAAAGTGGTTCGGCACACAACAACAACAAGACGCTTTGGCTTAGCTTGAGTACAAAAATAAGAATGTATTAAACGACTAAAGGGAGCGATAGAAGCGGGGAGGGGTGATATAGCCTCAACAGATTGTCGGGGCAAGTGCTGTTAGCGAGTAGCAGCTATGAAGGCCGGCACAGCACACGAGGGGGTGGATGGCCAGCAACACGCCCGGCCGCCTTTGTCTCCCCAGTGGCGATACTTACCACACACCGCACCAGGTACTCATTTGAGGCCGAGTCGACCTAGGGGAGGCCCCAGGACCGGTTCAGATATTCGTCACTGGCGTTGGCCGTGATCGGGAATCGAACCCGGCTCAACACACGTAGAGGGGCTGGCCACGCTCACACAAACACACGCGGGCGTGCAGACAGCTTGGCAAGCCTGCGGGGATGATGATGACGATGACGATGCTGTGTCGGTGTGTGCGCTGCGACTCTGGATATGGGGTGTAGGGAGGGATGATGTCGTAGTCGTGGTAGGGATGGGTGGAATGAAGGAAGGAGCGGAGAGAGAGGGAGGGAGAGGGGGGGTGGTGGGGGAGGGGCTGGGTTATGCACGGAGGCTGAAGCGGCTGCCGTGTTCGTGAACCGCTCTCGTAACCATCATTGGCTACGCGCTCAGACACCGCGTGCCCTGCTGCTGCTGCTGCCGTTACGCTCGCTTAACAGCACGTAGACCGTCGCCGGTATTTGCTAGCGTCCCTTTATTTATATTTTCTCTCCTCTCTCTCTTTCATCTTTATTAAACCGAGAGTCGGGCGCTGCGAGTCGAGGTGGCGCTGCCGTCGACGTCGTCGCCGCTGTCTCCGCGCTCGCTGATTGTCGCCCCGTTCGTTCCGACAGCGGCGATTTCAATCCATTTGTCGTCGTTGTCGTTGAAAATGCTCAAACGAAGCCGCCGAGCTGCGTTTGCGTAAATATGTAAACGGTATAGCCTAAATAACTCGATCAGCATTGAAACAGTTACCATCGCTATACGATCGCCGTCACCTCGTCTCCTCCCCCTTCGCCTATTGTCTCGCTTCCGTTTTTTTTAGTGTCTCGTTGTTTTCATAATTAATTCAGTACCGGCCGGCTTCATTAAGTCCACCACCACCACAAGATCACGAAACGCGCGCTCCAGTCGTTAGGCGGGTGGGTGATGTGAGCGGCGGGGATGGAGCGAGGGATGATCGTGATGATCATTCCCGTAGATGGGGCAGATTTCGCGCGGCGCTCCGCTTGCTCGGATTACGTGCAGAGGGGACATCTCGCTTGCATTGCCTTTGTAAATACGTTTAGTTTAATGGAAATAAAAAAAACATCGCGCCGGATAGGCTGTTTACACTGAACCCAGCCTCTCCCCCGCTATAGCCTTTGGCCGCACGTCAACGCCGGCATATAGATGTGTACCCCACGGGGCCCACTGAGTAGCGACGCGAGCTAGCGCGCTAACGGAGGGGAACCATCAACAGCATCCTTAACCACCGCGAGAACAACCACCAGGCACAGCCCGTGTCGCTTCCAAGCATCCATGCTGGCACCTCTTCTTCGCGACCACGAGCGCGGATGGCGAACATCATCAACATCAACGTGAGCAGCAGCGGCGGCGGCGGCGGAGGAGGAGGAGGAGGAGCGGGTACGTCCGCTGGAGGTGGTGCCATCTCGGCAGCGGCAGCAGCGGCCGGCCTCTACCTCCCATCGAGAGAGCCTGCCGGGGGGAAGCTGGCGTCCCTGGGCATCATCATCTTCGCCAGCCTGGCCGGCAACCTGCTGCTCTCGTTCCACGTGCTGCGCCAGAAGAGCCTCCACCGCGCGCCCTACTACTTTCTCCTGGACCTGTGTCTAGCCGACGCGGCCCGCGCGGCCGTCTGCTTCCCCTTCGTCTGGGCCTCGGCCATGCGCGGCTCCGTGTGGCCCTACGAGCCGCTGGGCTGCAAGGTGGTGGCCTTCTTCTCCGTGCTGTCGGCCTTCCACGCCGTCTTCGTGCTCTTCTGCGTGGCCATCACGCGCTACATCGCCATCGCGCACCACCGCTTCTACTGCAAGCGCGTCACCCTGTGGACTTGCGTCGCTGTGCTGTGCACCGCTTGGACGCTGTCGGTGGCCATGGCCTTCCCTCCCGTCTTCGACATCGGCACGTACAAGTACATCAGGGACGAGGGACAGTGCCACTTCGAGCACCGACACTTCAGGGCCAACGACTCGCTGGGCTTCATGCTCATGCTCGTGGTCATCATCGTGGCGACGCACGTCGTGTACGCGAAGCTCGTCTGCTTCGTGCACGAACATCGGCGCATGAGACCCGCGCAGGTCGTGCCCGCCGTGAGCCACAACTGGACATTTCACGGGCCCGGTGCCACGGGCCAGGCGGCCTCCAACTGGATCGCGGGCTTCGGCAGAGGCCCCACGCCACCGACACTCGTCGGCATACGCCAGAACTTTTTCGCGCAGAACAAGCGCCTTCTCGCCGTGGACGATTTCAAGGCGGAGAAGCGCATCGGCAGGATGTTTTACGCCATCACGCTGGCGTTCCTGGCCCTCTGGCTCCCCTACCTGGTGGCGTGTTTCTGGAGGGTCTTCGCTCGCGGTCACACCCTGCCGCACGGCTTCATCGCCACTGCGGCGTGGCTCACGTACGGCCAGGCGTGCGTCAACCCGCTGCTGTGCTACGCGAGCAACAGGGAGCTGCGCCGATCGTTCTGGTCCAGCCTGGCTCAGTGCAGGAAGAGCCCCACCGTGCCGCAGGAGGCTTACTGTGTCATCGGGAGACCGTGCGAGTAGAGGGAGAGGAGAGATGAGAGGGTGGGGGGTGGGCAACCACACGCGGGTTTAGCCTTGAAGGTGGCAACCGCCTTGCCTACCCACCCCACCCACCCGCACTCTCTGCGCACCACGTTGACGGTATCGTCTGATTTTTACGAGTTTACCAATATACGTCTTTCGAAATGATGTTCAATGTTAAAAAACGCGCTGCGAGGTCGCGACCCCCCCACCGCCGCACGCTGCACGCGACCGATGATTGGTAAACACGCGCACGACGCGCCGGCAGCGGAGGGGGGAGGGTGGGTTCCCCCCAACGTCACGTGGAGCACAGTACAGAGACAGAGATCCCCCGTATAGCCTTAGCAGGCTGTAGGGGCAAGTGCTGTTAGCGAGCACCTATGAAGGCCGGCACGGCACACGAGGGGGTCGGTGGCCAGCACCACGCCCGACCGCCTTTGTCTACCTAGTGACGATGTTTACACAACACACCGGGTACTCATTTGAGGCTGAGTCGACCTAGGGGAGGCCCAGGACCGGTTCAAATAATCGTCGCTGGTGTTGGCCGTGAGCCGGAATTTAACTCGGGTCGCCGGGTTCAAAGCGCAGCGTAGCGTTAACCACTACACTACCGCTCCCCATGTACACACGTACACACAGACACACACACGTACACACAGACACACGCACACGTACACACAGACACACACACGTACACACAGACACACACACGTACACACAGACACACACACGTACACACAGACACATACACGTACACACAGACACACACACGTACACACAGACACACACGTACACACAGACACACACACACGTACACACAGACACACTACACGTACACACAGACACACACACGTACACACAGACACATACACGTACACACAGACACACACACGTACACACAGACACACACACGTACACACAGACACACACACGTACACACAGACACACGCACGTACACACAGACACACGCACGTACACACAGACACACACATGTACACACAGACACACGTACACACAGACACACACACACACGTACACACAGACACACACACGCACACACAGACACACACACGTACACACAGACACACACACGTACACACAGACACACACACGTACACACAGACACACACACGTACACACAGACACACACACGTACACACAGACACACACACGTACACACAGACACACACACGTACACACAGACACACACACGTACACACAGACACACACACGTACACACAGACACACGCACGTACACACAGACACACGCACGTACACACAGACACACACACGTACACACAGACACACACACGTACACACAGACACACGCACGTACACACAGACACACGCACGTACACACAGACACACACACGCACACACAGACACACACACGTACACACAGACACACGTACACACAGACACACACATGTACACACAGACACACGTACACACAGACACACACACACACGTACACACAGACACACACACGCACACACAGACACACACACGTACACACAGACACACACACGTACACACAGACACACACACGTACACACAGACACACACATGTACACACAGACACACACACGTACACACAGACACACACACGTACACACAGACACACACACGTACACACAGACACACACACGTACACACAGACACACACACGTACACACAGACACACACACGTACACACAGACACACACGTACACACAGACACACACACGTACACACAGACACACACACGTACACACAGACACACACACGTACACACACACACACGCACGTACACAGACACACACACGTACACACAGACACACACACGTACACACAGACACACACATGTACACACATACACACACACGTACACACAGACACACACACGTACACACAGACACACGCACACGTACACACAGACACACACAGACACACACACACGTACACACAGACACACACACACGTACACACAGACACACACACGTACACACAGACACACACACGTACACACAGACACACACACGTACACACAGACACACACACGTACACACAGACACACACGTACACACACACACACGTACACACAGACACACACACGTACACACAGACACACACGTACACACACACGTACACACAGACACACACACGTACACACAGACACACACACGTACACACAGACACACACACGTACACACAGACACACACACGTACACACAGACACACACACGTACACACAGACACACACACGTACACACAGACACACACACACACTCGACATTGAATCAAGGCTCTTGCGTCGCGTCGAACGTGGTTTAACAATCATCAGGCTCGTGCAGCGCTCACGTCATTCTCCGTCCCAGCGTGTCCGTTGGGTCCGTTCTCAACACGTACATCTATTCTCGAATCTCCTCTTCACCCCAGCAATCCGCAGTTTCCACCGACATCTTCCAGGGTCACACTTAACAACAAGTCACTCAGTCTCCTACTAAGAGGTCCCCTCCGTCTCCCCCCCCCCCCCCCTTTTTTGTCGGTCTATTGTTTTCATGGATCTGATAGAGAGAGGGCGTCCTTGCCTACAGCATCTGACAGTTCAACAGCATTCAAACGAGCCCGACTCTGCAGATGAGACACACTGGGGTTAATACCGGTCCAGAGTTTGCTTGGTACTGAATCAATGCTGCTGAAACGATGCACTACCCCGGAAGGGGTGTGGGTCTTTATGGGTTGTGTCAGAAATACAGTACTTGTATTTTTATACCTGGAGAGACAGACATACGAAAAGGACATTGTTTGTCTAATTGGGTGTTGTGTGTGTGTGTGCGTGTGTGTTGGCGGTATGTTGTTTTCACGTGCCCTTACCATTTTCATCTCGCTCTTTGTCTCAACTCTCAGCCCTTCGACACGTATCACCAGGGTCTATCTTCGTTTTCACCATCAATGTTGCCCTCGCAATCCTGGCGAGTGTAGACTCGAATAATGCCCGGGTTATGTGCCGTGTAACGAAAACAACTTAATCGTATTAAATGGTGGTTAAGATGGTACACTCTAAAAAGGCACAGTGCTGTGGATGAGAGTGTGCGGTTTTGATAAACCCTAGCTGACCATGATCACACACAAAACAAAACCCCGTCTAACCTTCACAGACTGTTGGGGCAATGGCTGTTCTCGAGTTAGCGCCTAAGAAGGACGGCACGGCACACGAGGGGGATGGGTGGCCAGCACCACGCCCGACCGCCTTTGTCTCCCTTAGTGGCGATGTTTACACATCGCACCCAGATACTCATTTGAGGCTGAGTCGACGAAACGTAATGAAAACACATAGACAAACACATACATACACAAGACAAAGATCCCCTGTATAGCCTGAACGTACTGTTGGGGCAAGTGCTGTTAGCGAGCACCTATGAAGGCGGCACGGCACACGAGGGGGATGGGGTGACCAGCACCACGCCCGGCCGCCTTTGTCTCCCCAGCGGCGATGTTGACTACACACTCCACCAGATACTCATTTTAGGCTGGGTCGACCTTGGAGAGGCCCAGCACCGTTTCAGACAAGCGTCAATGGTGTTGGCCGCGAGCGAGAGTCGAACTCGGGTCGCCGGCTTCGTAGCTCCCGATACGCACACACATACATACACACGAGTACACAATGTAACACGGTACTTTAAAAAAACGTTAACATTTCAGAGAATTTGCAACAACACACGAGCAATGTGCCTCCGGGCTCTGGAGACCACCTGGAAAAGATTGCAGTACACGTGTTGACAATGACGGCGAACAAGTGAAAGACTCTTTGACTTTTTGAAACTATTAACATAGATTTGTTTTTCGTGTCAGAGTGCATTATCCGTTTTTTTCCCATTAAAAACGACAGTCCCATATAGGTGTTAACATTTTTTGGAGCACACTATTAATCAACCGTCGTCAAACCGCTCGCCCTACTCAATTGAGCAATGAGTGAACTAGTCATATTCGTCGGTGGCCCTGAGCTTGTCGTGGAAATTGCACATTCCCATGACGAGGACCAGTTTCAACTCATTCTATTATGCCCTCGAGAGAATATAGAATGAGTCAAGGGGAATTGAACCCACCATTATCCACGTGTACAGTATATGACACAAAAAATCGCCGGTCGTGTCAATCCGCTGCTTGATGACGGCCTCCCCCGCCGCACCATGTTGGCCACGGGGATTGTTTGACCGCACTTTTGCAGGATCGTACAAGGTGGCGAGCGGAGATTGGGGAGAATTTAATCCAGCAGCGGATGGAACATGGCCGAGGAAGAGCGGCTCAATACTTTGGAGACAATTGCACCATATCGTGACACGTTAAACAAACGAAATGGGGTGGGAGGGGAGAACAAAAACAGCCTCGGTTTTATTTGAATGGCACGATTTCTCTCTATGCACACATTTGCATGTGTCGTGCGGTCCCTATAACTGACGCGTGTGTTTTGCTAAACGTTTTAGTTTGTTATTGTGATGAACCAAAGTCATACATTGCTTAGCCTCTTTTTTTTTTTGCTGAGATACGATATTAATGGGGAGTGTTCCTGCCCCGTTTGTGGGAGTGAGAAAATGAAATAGCTGTGCCGGTTTTTCGACATTTTTCTTCGGCAGTGTCTTTCGATGCTGATATGTATCATACGGTGCCCCCCAAAAAATGGATTTCTGATTAAATTCGTATACAGTACGTTACATGGTTCACACTCGTGTTGATTTATGAGTGCGTGTATAAATAACTCCACGGAGTGTTTCTCCGAATGTGCATGTGATTGTGTGTACGTGTTATTGTGACTCTCTTAAGCGTACATGATTTCGCCTTGTGTTATGATGGGCACTATTGAAGTGTCGTGCGCTCCATCAAATGCAGGTTGCTAATGCTACATATCAGCCGGCATATTATAATAGTCTAGCAGTGCGTATGATCACGTGTATTTGTATAAGCCACACACCATACATACATACAAACATGCATACTTTGCAGGCATGCACTCATAGATATTGTTTGATTGCTCACTAGTCGCTAGTAATTTGCCTGAGTTGAGAAAACATAATCGCATACAATGTAATTATGTTTAACTTTAAGGGTTCAAATTGTACATCAAAGTTATGAGGGTATAGCAAAACTATTGGCATACTTGATTTCCTTGTCAAAAGTCAAAGTGATTACCTACTCAAATGAGCATTAAGGTTGTGCCAATTCCCTGTTAACATCCCTGAGCCAGTCATCCAGTCATGGACATTCCACCTTTCTATGACAGGGACTTTGAGCTTAGCTGCAATAGTCTATCCGTAATACGGTAACTGTTTACTTCCCCGCGAAGTGATTCTCATTTTATTGACCCTGGACGGATGATGGACTAACTAGCACATCAATTTTATTCAACAATGATTGACCATCAGGCACACACGATGCGAATCATGGCCTTACAAGTAGGGCCTTACGAAATGTGTACAATGCCTCCATAAGACAGAGCTCCTTAATAACAATTTACAGCTTCTTGGTTCTTTCCGTAAAGTCACGTAGAAGGGAAATAATAAAATAATACAAATAAAACATAATAAAATAATTCTCACGACGTTTCGGCCACAACGCAAGCAGCCGTCCTCAGTTGAAGACCAGGTCTGTCGGGGAGACAGCGTCTGAATGAAACACCACCACGCTTGGAGCGTCTATTTAAGCTTAAATAGAAGATGAATCCCTGCAGTCACGAAAGCTTTAAATCCAAACAATTTACAGCCAATTGTCAATCCACCGCTGGATGAAAGCTTCCACATGCCGTGTCAATCATAGGGGTTATTGGACCACGCTGGTCAGTGCAAATGGTCAGTACAAATTGGAGAAGGGTTTTCCAAGGAAGGGTTCAGCTAATTGGTCACCACCGATACATTATACGTGCCCATTAATTGGACAAGGTATGCACCAATGTTCCACCCCAATTTTGCAATCACATCGCGAGGTCCACAAACAAATGTATCCTGATACTTTTTAAGCAGAGCATCACGTGATGGTAGGGAATGTTGCTGGACGATGACTCTATGCCAGGGACCAGGAAGTCACTGGAGCCTTCTGTCTTTCCCTGCACCTTCAATTAGCACAGTTGGCTACGTACGGTGCGAAGGAAGTTCAACAAACATGCAACTCTACACTACTTTGTCTGCAGTCACTTCAAATAGCATTTTTTACTCAACACTCGAGGGATCTTCATCATGCACCGTACAATCTGCTTTTCTGCACGCTACATGCATTTAGCAATTTTAGATGTTAAAGTTGTGTTGGGCCACGTGCCGTGAAAACCCATTATATAGAATAATGTTTACGTTTGCGTTGATTTGAGAACTGGCTCAGACCATGACA